CTCCCAGGTGCCAAATGCCATCCTCTGGCCTCACTTTGCTTGCAAGAAGCTTCCCAGCTTTGCTGCAATCTTCAGTCTCCTGGACAGGCCTGTCGTGCACAGTCTTGTTGTCATCTTACTCTTTAAATATTTTCCACCCCAAACTGTCCCCAGGATTTGTTCTCTTGGGGAGTACGGTACAAAATTTACAGAAACATCTTTTAGTTAAAGAGTGGTGGAATTCATCTGTATTTATTGTGCATCAAACGCTGTTTGGTTGCCTGTAATCTTGGGTGTCTGTCTATCCATGTGTGGGGGGTTTTTCCATGTTGTTTTTCTCCCACTGTGAGCTCTGGCTTGCCTTAATTTGATTGAATAAACCCTCTGTGTTGCTGAACTGTAATGAGACATTATTGATTGGGTTATCTGGATTGTATCCTTCCAAATGGCATGTTCCTTATCCTGAAAGAGTGGGGTTTGCTGTGATGCCTTTTGCGTAGGCCGTTGGTCCTCTTGTTCTTTGCCGAGTCAGGGCATGCTGTGGAGTAGCTGCTGGAGGTGACTTAGAAATTAAACTTGTATTAAAGGTACAGCATTGTTCACAGTATGACATTGAGGAAGCTTCCAGGGCAGAAGGTGCAAGGAATCCCCCTTCTCAGAAGTTCCCTCGGCAACCTTGGATGTTGCATCAGGAGAGCTTGATGTACTGACTTAATTTAAGAGAAACCACACAGAGGGTGGAGCAGAGTGAAGATACCACAGCCAGGCTCCGTGACTATGGACAGGATTTGAAGTTACTATAGAACTGATAAGTTGCGTGTTTGCTACCCTGAGCCAACAGCCTGTCATTTTTTTTGACAGAATACCGTCCTTTGGGTGAACTGTATTCATTATAATACTAAAACGCACCTCCGTCTCCCAAAGCTACCCACCTATGTGGTGCAGCCACCCCTCGCTGAGCTTGCACACTGAATTTCTCCTAGTCTATATCTTTTAAAGCGAAGAGAGAGAAATTTACACCAATTATAACAAAGGTGTGTATGACTAGAGTCACTCCCTGAAAGGTAAAAAATAGTATAAAAATGGCTTAAGAGAGGGAGTTGGCAGGGAAGATGTCATCATAGTCAGGGAGAAATGTAATCACAGGCCACCTCTGAGTTCTAGGATCAGTTGGTGGGCTGAGCCTCTCTTCTCCCTCTCACAGGGATGCCTTTGGGTAAGATTTGAACCCTCAGTTATACCAACTGCTTGCCTGGGGAACTTAGAAATCTCTATAGAGTTGTTTTATAACTTAACACGTTTGTAGCCAGGCTGTATTATTCATATTCTTGCATGTGCGTTGCAGGCTGTCTCTATCACTGGCAACCTAAAGCATTTGTGTACCTGTTAATAAACTGTACTATTTTTTAGTCTAACGGTGGAAGTTCTTATTGAACGCTGCTGATCTGGCTGCATCAGTCTGACCGTGAGAGTTCTCTGTGAACCTCAGCAACCCCCTTGAGTCTGTCTGTGAGAGTTCAAGGAACGCTGCTAGACTGGAAGTGGGTTGCATTATTAGTCCAGACTCTAAATGCTAGTTTGGGCACCACTCAGAATCTATGTCCAGCTGCCCCCGGCCCCTCTGATATCTGAGGACAAGCTGGAACACAAGGGGATTTGCTTTCTGCCAAACTGCTTTGCACTTCTAGCACAATGCATGCATGAGTTGATCTGTTCTAGTTCGGTGTCGCCAGGAGCAGAGCTGCTGCCGTGCCCTGAGAGCCGGCGGGGCATGCGTGGCATGGCATCCTTTGGAAGGAGCGGTGTGAGGCATTGATGCTGTGTCCACGTCAGGGCTGGAGACCTCCATGGTTCCTATTGCTAAATGACAAGAGAGAGATGCCCAGCTTGTGAACTCACTAAACTTGTGCTTTTGTGCTACTGGTTGCAGGTAACTGCTGGTAAACCAGGACCTCCTGCTGATGCTTATCTGCTTTAATGATCCCTGGCTTTAACTGCTCTTTATTTGCTGGTTGTTAAAGGCCTGGGGGTGGAGGGGTGAAATGTGCTGTTAAAATCAGCTCTTTGGAGGGGTGAAGCAAAGGGCTGACTGCGTCACAGCATTGTCCAGTTTTGCAGCCAGGTCCACATCTTGGACATTTGTAGTGGTGGTTTGCATGTGTTACTGCAGCACTGAAGCCTCTTCCCTTTCTTCTGTGCAGTTGCTCTAAAGAATCATCACGGTGCCAAAGAAGCAGAAGGGGCTGGAGACTGCAGCAACGGACCAGCCTCGGGCTCGGCAGCGATACCAGAGGGCGAGCTGCTCCTACAGGTTAGTGCTTCTCGCTGGCCACCTCTCCCTGGCAGATGCCTTCAGGGGATTTGCCACTTGTCCTCTTTCCATCGCCTTTGAATTTTACCCAAAGAGCAGGCTATTCTCTTACTGATTGCAGGATGTTTTGGTGAAGCAGTGTTTTCACATGCTGTAGCTCACAGTGTTTCAAACTGAGCACAAGTTTAAGACATTTTCAGGTCCCTGGCACAGAAACTGTGTTACTTCTTCCCTCCTTTTCCATCCCTCCTGCAAAAAAAAAAAAAAGGCATCTGGAATTTGCCTGTGTACAAGAAACCCTCGGTCTTGGTGGAAGCAGTGCTGAGTTTTTGAGATTCAGCCCTCTGCTTCTCTGACCTGGTCTGTACATGGGCCGTAGGTGTGACACGGGAGCCAAGCAGAGCAAGACGTTTTAAGTGTGGTTTTGGGTTTGGGCACACTGGTCTCGACCCAGGGGTGTTGTACAAACACTGGTGCAAACAGGAAGGAAAAAGACATGGAAAACCCTGATTCTCAGGCAGTGATGCGTGACACTGAGTACACAGATAGTCCGTGGTACATGGATGTATCCTGGGAGCTCTGCAAGAGGCGTTGAGTTGGCTCCTTTAGTGATGCTGGAGGCAATGCTGGTGATGGTGCAGCATGGTTGGGCTGAGCCTGCCGCTTCCACGGTTTATTCAGAGACGCCACGAGATGACCTTCTGTCTGCAAACTGTGCATGGTGAATAGGAGGAGGTCAGGCTCCAGCAGCGGGAGGTCCTGCGAGGACGCAGGTCTCCTGTCCCCGCCTGGCACCCAGGCACAAGCTGCAGCGCTGTTCCCTGCCTGGCTGTCATCCAGAGTGGGGTGAGCGTGCTGGTCAGCCCCAGCTCCTATCCAAAAGCTCACTCAGCAGTAAGTGTAATTACTGTCCTGCTTGAGAGCTGTGGAGTCAGGATCTTGGTGTATAGGGAGAGAAATGCTAAAGCCAGGTTGGTTAGTAACCAAAAACCTGAGGGGCTTCTGCTATGGATGTAATAAAACTGTGTTTTGTTATTGCTGGGGATTGATGTCCTGCTTACCGACTCCTACCGGAGTTTGATGCCATCCTTTCAGATGTACTAAGCTGGGTGTCAAAAGCTCTGGGCTTAGGCTTGACTCTCCCAAGGGTCTGTCTGCGTGATGCTAGACATGGCAAGGGCTCAGGACCTGCCTTTGCCCAAGGAAATGCTCCTACATGTTTATAAAACTGCTTCCACCTGGTCTGTCAACTTTGACGTCCAAAACTGCTCTGTATCATCTCTTGGTCCACTTCCCCTCCTCTAATTTTCCAGCCTTACTTTTTTGGTTTGTTGTTCTCCACCAAGACTCTCGCCAGCAGCAGTCTCAGTGGAGGAAGGTAGCTTAAACTGAGGTTAAGCATGAAAATCTCTCTGAAAGGACCAAGGCCTTAGCAAAGCTGAGAATTAGGTGGACCACCTCTGCCCAGGTGATGCAGGTACACATCTCTGGCTGCAGCATATTACATCTTGTTACTGCTAGTGCAGTTAGGGAGAGACAGAGTGCTGCAAGATGTTCCTTGCTCCCGCAGAGCAAAGCCTCCAAAGCTGCTCAAAGGGTTAAAGTGCGTTTGGCCGCACTAATTAACCTCTGCAGCGGATTCCCACACACTGAGATCAACCCCAGCAAATAGAGAGAGTGTTTGTACCCAGAATAAAGGGAAGGAGAGGGGGGAGAAACACCGACCTGGACAATGAAACAGGAGTTGGCAGCAACAATAGCCGGACTTGGCTGAGACTACAGCTAGACCCTAATTAATTCTGATGTCTATACATTACCAAGTGGGGGAAGCAGGCCAGGGCTGGCTACTGTGGCTTCCCTGCCTGCAGACAGGTTATGGTACAGGACGTTTTTGGCTCCGAACAGCCGCAGGGCTTCTGAGTTCCACAGTGCAGAAGGACCACTGCCTTCTAGAGGACTTCTGCTTCAAGCTGGCAGGATTGTCCCCACAGGACCTGGTGCCCCTAGGGAAGAGTGGCTGGATGGTGCTGTCATGGTAGTAAAAGCTGTTTGGCTTCTAGGGAGCTAAACTAGTGATTTACTTGGGGTTTCATGGCCTTTGCTCTTAGGCGGCACCGTGGGCAGGGGTGAAAAGCCAAGGCTCCTGGGACAGCAGCTACACTCCCAAACTGGTAGGGATGCTCCCCTGCACCTTCCAGTCTTCATGGATCTCCAGATGCAAAGGACGTGGTCAGCCAGCACCCTGGTGTCTTCTTCTGTGTCCTGTCCTGCCAGCCCTGTGGCTGCTGGCTCCAAGAAAACACACAATTTGCTTCCCAGTTTGTTACGCTAGTAGCAGTGAGACCCCCTTGAGGAAGATGGAGGCTGTGAGCAGCTCAGCCTGTTCCGACTGGGAAACGCAATGCTCCTTTGGATATTGACTTTGCAGTCCTAGAGCTCAAGGAGAGGATGGAAGGGCCAGTGAACCATGAAATATATAAGTTGTGTAACATTAAAAATGCATCACGAACTTCAGATTGATGGCTGCATTTGCCATCCTTTCTAGGGGGGCGCTTAGTGCTTCAAACCTGCATGGGCAAAGCAGCTCGAGTATTCGTTATGTGGAAACAGAGCACAGCATTCAGCCCGTTTAGTTAGAGGGCACGCACAAGCGAGGGATGGGGTGTTAGCCTTGGGTCAATCTGCACATCACTCAGGGGTAGCTCCAGAGTAAGGGGAGCATGGCTGGGAGAGTTTTGTGGCTACCACACGCATCCCAGGCCCAGGTGGCTGCAGACTTCTGTTTTCTCCACGAACACTGATGCTCGGTGCTTTTGCTGTCGTGTGGTGCTCTGGAGGGAAGGCACTGTGCAGGTTGAATGAATGCTTCACAGCAGGTTGTGAGTTTGAGGTGAATCGTTTGAGCTACCTGATCTAGTGGAAGGTGTCCCTACCCATCGCAGGGGGTTTGAAACTAGCTGATCTTTAAGGTCTCTTCCAGCACAAACCATTCTGTGATTCCATGATTTATTTGCCAAAAGCAAAAAGTACTCTGAGGTCAACCAGCGATTCTGTGCTTGTTCCTCGCATCCATGGGCCAGACTCAGCCTGTGCTCCCTTCTACTTTGGAAGAAAATGGCTTTTCAGAAATCAGATGTTTTCACTGTGGTTTCAGAGAACAAACACGTGTGGTTTAGCTTTCACCTTTTCTGTTTTTAATGGCTCAGGCTCTTTGCAGCGTTGAGTTCGCCACCTCGACCACAGGGCGAGCAATGCGGGAGGAGGGAGCAGGCAGTGGAGACCACACCTTTCTAGGTCTAGTTCCTTGCCCACGGACAGCCCAGGCAGGCACACCATGGTCCTTCCGCAGGCCTCTCCTCTGGCACCTGGGGACGACTGGAGGGATGCAAACAAGGCCAGGAACTGGGCAGGTTTCTCCCAAACCAGCATGAGTATTTCCATCCACATGGGCCAGGCAGCAGCAGAAACGCTGGCGACACGCCGTGACCTGCGGTGGGTTTGGTCTCCACTGAACTCCCCTCAGCTTTTCCAGCCTCATGCTGTCCTAAACCACACGCAGCTGCCAAGACCTTCCTGGGCTGTGGGAAGGATGGGAGCTACACGAGTGAAGCCGCCCAGGTGGATGTGGGTCAACATTAAACGCAGCCGACATGAAACGCTGTTCTGATTCAAGGTTGTCGGAAAGGCTTGTTTCCGCCAGAATACCAGAATGGACCAGTTCCTGATGGTGTCCGGTTTTGTTCCACAAGTATTTCTGAGATTTTTATTTGCTCTTCACGTAGTATAAATGTCCAAATCTCAGACTGAGTGAATGCTCCTGGGATGGAAGCAAAGTTTTCCATCAGTTTGGATTAGGATATGCTCGGGCAGCTGTATGGAATTGCTACATGACCTCGGAGAAACCCAGCAGAAGGTACCATCTGTTTTCTCAGTGAGCACAGCTCTGCCAGAGTTGATCTCCATTTTTTCCCCAGCCAGCCTTCAGTTGGTGGAGTTTCCTCAAGCAAGGTGGAGCAGAAGAAAATCTGAGAATGGGCTACAGGCCTTGACCTCAGCTGGGTAAAGCAGACTCATTGGGTCTCCAAAAAACTGTGTTTTAGGTGTTTGTGCTCTGGCACCGTGGTGAGGTATGTGCAAGGATGGAGGTCTCTGGTGTTGTTCCCATCCTGAAGGAAGCATATGAAATCAAAAAGCTGCTTGAGCACTGCATAGGAGGATTTGGTGAGAGCCAGGGCTACAGAAACGAGAAGCCTTTGAGAAGGGCATCCTTTCCTTCTAGGGCTTCCAATGCTTTGTCTCCTGCTTTACACCTTTCTTTTGGTGGGGCAGTGGATGAGCTGTCTGCTTGCTGGGACCAGCCAGAACTTGAGTGATGAGTGTCCGGGCAGAATGTCCTGCTAGAAAAGGGTAACATAAGCATGGCATGTACCTGCTCATCTCTCCCCTAGGCGCTCAACGGCTTTGTGCTGGTGGTGACATCGGAAGGACTGATATTTTACTCATCACATACAATTCAAGACTATCTGGGATTTCATCAGGTTAGTGGGACATTTCTGACTCGCTGTAAGTGGCTCTGCAGCGTGTTTTTGCCCTTGGTGGTGGAGAATAGCCCCAAGTTGCCTGCAGGGAGGAAGCTCTGCAGCAATCACAGAGCCTCGGTGCTTTTCCTTGGTCTTGTGAATTTGGAGCCCATATTACTAGACATGGTTACTAGGAGGTGTCAAAGCACCATTGCTAGCCCACAGATGCTTTCCACCAGCCACATTGACAGGCTATGAGGTTCATGACCCTGTTGTGTAATGTCATGGTGAGATGTCTAGGGTTCCCTGCCCAGTTTGCCTTTGGGCACCCACTCCTGTGGGTGACCTCTTAGTTAATGCCATGAAGCTCCAATGCCTTGTGGTTACCTGGGCATGCAGGTAACTGGGAAGGCACTAGGTCAGATTTACATGGAGGTGAGACTTACCTGCAGCCCTTTAGTTGCTGTGATATGGTTTTGCTACCATACAGCTGACTTTCTCCAATGTTTTGAGTCGATGAGGACTGTCCGCCTGGGCAGAGGGAGCAAGTCCTGGAGCAGGGGCCTTGTTCTCTTGGGAACAATGTAGGAATGTGGTGGCTTTGCTGCTGTTAAGTTCCCAAACCCATCTTTTCATCTCATCTTGTAATTCAGTGCAGGGACAAGCATGTCAGAAGGGATCTGTATTGCTCATGCTGGTGGTTCTTTAGGATGGGGGTGGGAGGTCTGGCCCAACATAGACAAGGGGTCCTTGGAGCCACATGTGCTGTCTGTTCCCACCAGCATCAGCTCTGGTGGAGGTTGTCAAACCCCATTCAGCCAGGGACCTAGTTGGGCACCAGGAAAATTGGGTAAGATATGGCCAACTGGAGCTGTGACGAGCTGTTTTCAAGTAGGATGTGAAAACTGGCACACGGGGGCAGACTGCAGAGCTCGCGTTTTGCTTTTCTCCTCTAGACAGATGTCATGCACCAGAGTGTCTTTGAGCTGATCCACACCGAGGACCAGCTGGAATTCAGCCGCAACCTTCACTGGGCC